CGATGACAATCGTTGCTGAATATTTAATAATTTACAACTAACAAGACCGTTTTATATTGAATCGAACGTCGGCACACGACTGACGACAAATCGCGACTAACTAAATAACGTACTTATAAATTTTTATTGTAACTCAAAGTCTAGATCGCGGCAGTTCGGGTCTCTTCGCGGGTCACGTGACCGACAGGCGAGAGTTCGGAACCGCTCGCTGCAATTCGGTCATTTCCGCTCGGAACTAGCGGCTTTCGAGTTTACGTTGCACTTGTGCTGTGTGATTGTCAAAAAATGTCGTTTATTTCCGCATTGCAATCTGATAAATTTATATTTCAATAATAATAACAGTTTTAACAATTGCTTTTTTTAATAAATCACACTGACAGGTTAAATAAGTGGTAATTGACTTTTTTTTTTTAGTTATTTAAATTTGCATGGAAATTTTAATGACTCTGAAGTTGACAGATATTAAAAATGTTTTTTTAATTGTAGAGCAATAAAAATATTATTAAAAATATTTAATTTAAAAAATCAACACGTGATAATTGAAAAAAATTAATAGTGAAAATTTTCAAAAGCATTTTTATTAGTGTAATTTATTTTTTTATAAGAACTTAAAAAATTGACAGCTGTCAGCTAACTTCAGTATAATTAATTTTAAGATATTTAAATCATTGTTTAAAATGTCAGCTGACATTTGATGATTTTTAGGATTTTTTTAAACAATTAAATTATTAAAATAATACTTTTCTAAAAAATTCCACTTGTAGATGTCAAAAAAATTTATTGTTGCCTTTTTTTAAATGTTTTTTTTTTTTTTTTAATAATAATTTATTTGTTGTAAAAATCCAAAAAATTGACAGTTGTCAGCTAACTTCAGCTTAATGAAATTTTTTAAAAGTTTTTTTTTTCAATTAATAAAAATTATTTTCAATAAAAATTTAAAAAATTGACAGCTGTCAGTTCTTTTCAGTATCAATAAAAAAATTAATTTTAATAATAATAATAATAATAATAAAAATAAGATTGTAAAACAGTTTAACAAATTTAGATTTGTAATAGTGATTACTGAATTCTAAATAAATTCCTTTGTAAGTTATAACAAATTTAAAAGCATTACGATATCCTATTCCAAGAAATGACTTCTACTTATATCAATTACTTCATTGATCGCCTGGGGTAATTTTACAGTAAACCCGAATAGAATTTATTGACGTATTTAATTTTTATTATCGCCGCTGATGGAATTAACAGATGTCTGACAATTTTTTATTTGTAAAATTTCCAACTCAGCGAGCGTTAAAGTATGTAAAATAAATATTTCATTTAAAATAAACTGTTAAATTAATTAAATATTAATAAAAACAGGTCTAGTTCTAGCTGAGCATGACCGTAGCATGAAAATAATGAAATATCAAACTTGGAGTAATTATTTGGTCTATTTCTTATTTTAAATTAACAATATAATTAAATTATTGTAAGAAAATTGTTACAATAAAAATTATCAGAGGTCTGCTGATAAATCCCAACTGATCAAAATTTGCTGATCGGTAAATAATAATATTCCCATAAATAAACTAAAATATTCAAATAAATATAAATATAAATGATAAGACTTGGCAATAATATACACAGAGGATCATAATCAAATGGGAGACAACACAACGGTGCTTCTATATTCGATGTAAACAACTTTTAACGTCTCAGTAGTAATCCCGTTGGATATACCCAGGGATCGATATTTTTCCGGGTAATGGTAACCGTATAGCAACGTTTATATGTTTATACAACATAAACACTCGATGTTATTCGATAAAAGACCTCGCCGAGGCTAACCAATATAAAGTCAAGAATCAGCCTAAAAATAAAGGAAAAAAATATAAATAAAAGGTATTAAACTTGAACTTGAACCAAAACTACAATGCCAATGGAATGGAATTAAATAAAAAACACAAAAGAAAATTCAAGAGCAAAATATAATAGCTGAACTATGACTACAGTAGATGAATGCACCTGCTGCGGAATGAACGATAACTCAAGTCCCAATTCGTTCTAGCTAATTTTTTGTTTTACGTATTATATAGTACTTTAGAAAAATCACAGTCATTCTTTTTTCATCACAACTAAATAATAAATAAAATAAATTTTAAATTAAACATTAAAATTTACCGTACGGTTTTATTATTTTATAATTAAAATTAAAATAAATAACTTACCGGCGTCTGCGGAACCAATTGTGAATCTTGAATCCCATTTTAACAATTTAAACTTACAATAATAATTAATTAATAAATTATTAAACTGTCGCGTTAATTATGTAACTGTTGATATTTTACAGAAGATATCCTCCGACATATTTGACGTAAATAATAAGGTAAGTCCTTGGTATAAAACCGCGCGAATATATAACTTTGACCGAAACCGTTCACTGTACATGCACTCACTGACTCACTACGACCGTTGTATATAGCCGAAACCAATACACTAGACCTCTCTCTCACTTTATTACTTCTTAACTTTACTCTACTCTGTTTCTGCTATATTACATCAGCACACTAACACTCCTGGAGAATAATGTTGTATTGAGCTGGTATCCGAATAGCACCATACCAGCTGTGTCCGTATCCGTGTCCAGGTACGCTCTGTCAAGTTATTACACTTATACTTGCCTCTACTCTCCTATACTTAGTCCAGGACTTGTAGGTACAGCTGATTGGTGCATGTCTCTAGGTGCCCAGGTGTTGGATTTTACGCACGAGCCACCACGGACCGTTGACTTGGTTCTGTAGGTACTATCACGTGTCAAAACACCGGTCTTTTACCTTTTCCTGGCTCCGGGTAACGGGCCTTTTTTTCTTCCGTGCTGGAGGTTATTTTTTAAATTTTATTATTAATAAATAATACTGAAGTCAGCTGACATCTGATGATTTTTAGGATTTTTTTTTAATAAATAAATTATTACAATAATACTTTTTTAAAAAATTCCACTTGTTGATGTCAATAAAATTTACTGTTGCCTTTTTTTTTAATAGTAATTTATTTAGAAATGAAGTTAGCCGACATTTCAAAATTTTTTATTGAAAAAATTTCAATTAAAGAATTAAAAAAAAAAATTCACATGTAAAAAATTTTAAAAACTATAAGTGCAATTTTTTATAAGTATCTTTTTAGTTGTAATTTAATTAATAAAAAATTTATTTATTTGTTGTAAAAATCCAAAAAATTATCAGTTAACTTTAGCTTGATACTATAATAATTGTTAAAGTGTTTTTTTATTTACTGCGCTCTTACCTGCGTTATTGCGCTACAGGAATATCAAACTTCTGAATAATTATTTTTTTTATTTCATTTGACAGATAAATTATTCAAAACAATTTTTTATAGATTTTTTCACCTAAAAAATAAATAAACAAAAATTTTATTAATAAAACTGAAGTTAGCTGTCAGCTGTCATTTTTTTTATATTTTATAACACAATAAAAATATTTAAAAAATTTGTTTTAATTTTGACATTTAGAATTTTTTAATTAAATTATTTATCATAATACTTGCTAGAAAATTATAAAAAAAATGTTTAAATGTTAATTATTCATCAATATTATTTTTAATTTAATAAATTGAAGGTTATTGTAATTTTATAACACAAAAATTAAAAAAATTGACAGCTGAGAGCTAACTTCAGTACCGTGTGATTTTGAATTGAATTTTGAATGAAAAAATTAATGCGCGCTTTATAAAAAGGTAGCGCCACTTCCCGAAGTCACGTGATGTAAATAAAATATTTGTTGATTGTGCTAGTGAATGCTTGACACGATTAAACGATTCTTATCTTATCCAAATAGAATAGTAAAATAAATTTCTCCCACATATTATAGCCAACTGGACCCGAAAGTAATCTGAGATCAGGAATCAGAGGTGATTGCTCACTGCTGACGTTTCTGCAGTAGAATTTTCGATATGGCGTCAAAGGTGAGTCAGTTTTTTAAATTTAAAACCTATAAAAAATAGTCCAGCTGTCAATGAACTATTTAATTATTATTCATTTATTTAATTAAATTTAAATTGGTAATTAGGTTCATGAATTTACGGTGGAAATGACTTGTGAGGGCTGCTCTAATGCTGTTGAACGGGTACTGAAGAGAAAAGAAGGTATTTTTTTTTAATTAAAAATTAATACAAGTGAAACTTTTTCTTTTAATTTTTTAAAAAATAATTCTAAAAAATTTAAAGATGTCGGCTAATTTAATTTCAGTTTTTTTGATTAATAATTATTTATTAAATTATAGGTATTGAGTCTTTCAATGTTGATTTACCAGAGAAAAAAGTTTTCGTGACTTCTGGACTGCCCTCTGATGAAATTCTTGAGTGTCTCAAAAAAACTGGCAAGCCGGTAACTTTTATCGGTGTAAAAAATTGAATTAATAATTAATTTTCCATTAATAAATAAATAAAAATTGTCTCTAAATAATTTACAAACCCGAGACAATATATTAATTATATTAAAAAAATACCTAAGTATTAAAATTGATGCTACTGTCTGAGTACAAGACTTATTATTTTAAACGTTAATTTAATAAGATTTTTTAATTATCTGGTGGCTATGTATAAAATTATCAAATTGTTATAAAAAGGTTTTAAATAAATAATTTTAAATATACAAATCTGATTTTTTTATGATTAAATAAATACTATGTTTATCTTAGATTAAATACATAGAATAAAATATTAAAAAATTATCAAAATACTTTTAAAAAAAAATTCATATTTATTTTTCGATAAATTATTAACTAATAAAAAATTTTTAAGTCATTATTTATATAAGATATTTTTTATTGATAAGATGAGCAAGTATAAAATTATCAAATTGGTAAAAAAAAATAATTGAAGAGTTTAAATAAATAATTTAAAATATAAAGCTTTGATTTTTGGATGATTAAAGGACTGTGCCTTAATTAATCTCATGGTAGTTTCGATGATCCAGATCCTCGACAGGTTTCTCATTAAAATTAACTCACCAACAATTCATGCTTACTCTCTCTGTCTTTGTTCTTGAACAACTCATCAGAGCCTTCAGTCTCATCTTCAAACTGCAGAGACTTTAATTCTTTTTCAATCTCCTCTGTTTCAACGGAGCTTCTTTTGATTTGAGACCTTCGAGTGTCATGCTGCTCCAAATTGGACTCCCAGATAAGCAGCTCTTTATCTCGACCTCCGGAGGCAAAGTAGCTGCCATCAGGAGAAAATGATACTGAAGAAATACCACCTGTGTGTCCTTTGAGAGTGTAAATTGGTCTTCCTTCCAATATATCCAAGATCTGTTTGATTTATAAATATTGTGGTGATTATTGTTGCAATATTATTATAATTAGTGAAGAAAAAAATAAAATTACCTTGATCGTTGAATCTTCAGAAGCAGTTATCATGAAATTACCATTGGGATGATAAGAAATTTTATTTACAACATCAGTATGTGCCTTGTAGTACTGATGCAGCGAGCCAGTGCGAAGCTCGTATATTTTTACAGACCCATCAGTGTTAGCCGTACCAATGGCTCCTCCAGAAGGATGAAAATCAACATATGTTGCTGGTCCTGAAATAATTTATCATGAAATAATTTATAAATAATGAAAATTAATTTAATTTAAAGAATTGTTGTAACAAATTATGGCAAAAAATTAACTCGGAGAAATTAAAAAAAATTAAATAAATACCTTTCAGCTCGGTAATTGTTCTAATACATTGACCAGCAGCTACATCCCATAATTTAATACTTTTGTCTTCACTACAAGAGACAATCAAACGATTGTCTGGTGAAAATCGGACACAGTGGACCCAGTGTGTGTGACCTACGTAGGAAGTAAGGAATCTGCGCTGGTGGATTTTCCATAATTTGATCACTTTATCATTGGATGATGTTATGAGCTGCAATTAATTTAATAAATCAACAAATTATCTGTAGAAAAAAAAAAAATATGGGACTGAATTTAAGACATCTGTTGATTTTTTAGATTTTTATTTATTTATTTATTTATTTAAATTTCAATGCCAAAGCAAAAGCCAAATGGCAAAATACAAAAAAAGATAAAAAAGAAATATAATTTAAAGTACATGTAAAACCATAAACATGAGCAGTATAGTTTTGTATTGTAAATATCAATATATAATGTAAATTATTTTAAGAAATAAAATTAGCAGACTTTGATCCCTAGGCCTCCCTGAGTTCAAGCTTATAGAAGAATTCAAAGGCTTTTGATTTAAATGCCTCTATGGCTCTATGCTGAGTGAGTTTATGACATCTGGTGGAATTTCTGGTTGAGATTAAAAAGGAGTGCTATGCTCGTATACTGATGTCGAGAAATTTGTAAAGCAGAAAGAGACATTGTTGTACTTTGAAGCCAACCTTTCCGAGCGTCTGATGTCTTGTGGCTCATCAACAAAAAGACATCTCAAAAAACTTGGTTCACCAGAACTGAATAATTTGTATAAGAAACAGGCTAAAAGATTAAGTCTTTTTGATTTGATTGAAAGCCATTTTAAGGAGCGACGATTTTTGTAACAATTAAATTGTTATAAAAAAATATTAATTGAAAAATTACAAGTTTAAAGATTAAAAAAAATTACAAGAGGAAATTTTTTTAATAATCAATTTTTAGTAACATTTTTTTTTTTTATTTTTATTAAGAAATTTTACATCTAAAGATTAAAAAAAATCACACGTGTAAATTTTTTAAATATCTTTTATGTAATAAAAATTTTAAAAAATTGTCAGATGTCAGCTGATTTAAGTGTCATAAAAATAAATATAAATATAAATACCTCTTTTCCATCAGAAGAAAATTGAACCGAGCGAACTGCGCTGGTATGAGCTCTGAAACCCAAGGATTCTCCACGAACTTTGGGAACCCAGACCCTAACAGTCCTGTCCTGGGAGGCAGTTGCCACTAATTCACCAGAAGGCGCGTAGTCTATGTCATTAATAGCCTCAGTATGCCCGACGTAGCGATTGCACCGGGAGTTGTTGTTGAAGTTGTAGACAATGAAGGACTTGTCCAAGCTACTAGTCGCAACCTTTAATTCCTCAGGGTGAAACTTTACACTTGTTATGTCTTTCTTGTGTCCTAGAAAATTTTTCAGCACTACCGGGTCGTCTTCCGTGCCCGACATTGTGTTTTTTTATTTCTCTAAATAATTACCGCGCAAAATTTGTGATAACCTCACTTTTTACTTTGGAGTTTTTGGTTGCTACGTGTATGTTAATAAGTTACTACAAACAAAATAATTAAGTGTTTTATCAATCACGGGTGTATTTATTATAATTTATGAAGTAATATGATACTTTGTTGGTTTAATATAAGCGAGTAAATTTTTTTTACTGAGAATTTATTTCACGAGTTCATTCAATGAAAATGACAGTTGGAATAATATTTTCAAACATGCAACCACGCGCGTGTGAGGAAAAATGTATATATATTGTCTGTAAGTAATAAGAAGGGGAAGGGGAATTCGAGCTCAGAGCTCTTCTAGTAAATTTAAAAAATCTACAAGGTAAGTAAATTTAGTTTTTTTTTAAAGTTAAAAATTTTGTTTTATAGTGAAATTAATTAAACAAAAATTAATGACATTAAAATTAGCAAACACTTGACTATTTTTTAATTTTTTTTTTTAACAAATAAATTAATATTAGAAAATTATTTATAAAAAATTACACTAAATCATTTTTTAATTTCTACATGTGTAATTTTTCTTTTAAAATTTTTTTTTATCATATTTGATGATACTGATAATTGAGTCAGCTGATAACTTAAAATTTTTTTTAATTTTTTTAACAAATTAATAACAATAAAAAAATTTTTTTTTAATTTTCACACGTGGAATTTTTAAATTAAATTTTTTTTCATAATAATTTAATTGCTATAAAGTTATAAAAAAATGTCTAATGTCTCTCAATTTAAGAATCATAATATTTAATTTATTAAAAAAATTAAAAAATGTCTCTAAAATAAAAATAAAAATAAACTGAATATATATATATATTTGCAAAAAATAAAATGATATATATTAGATAATATTTAAATTTATTATTGATCGTGTCTACAGAATACAAATGAGAGGACAACATAATTTTTCGATATCATCATTACTTTTATAATGCGTTATTACTTACTCATAGTAAATATATATTTATTCATATCATGTATGAACATTAAATATCATAAATATTAAATATTTCATATATTTAGCGTAAATATATATTTGTAAATATATATATATGTTCGATATTATTATTATTATTATTATTATTATTAGTATTATTATAATAAATATCATTGCGTATGTTTATACTTACATCTCAATATGAATACGCGCGTGAAACACACGTGGGCATTCAGGATCTGTTGAATGTCCATGTCTGTTTGACAGATACATTATTATTATTTATTATTTATTATTATTCTTTGTAATATTTCTTTTTATCATCTTTCAGATTTCCCGCAATTTATGAATGTCAATAAGTGTGATTATAATTTTTTTTCGGTGTACTTTATAAAGATAATTACACAGACTATCACAAAATTGATTGCAGGGACTTTACATCATTAGTCAGTTCAAAATTTATATCTTCATAAATTAGATTCTCAATTAGGCTTTTCCGATAAATTTAAAAGAATTTTTTTGATAAAAAAAATTTCTGTTTGCCTCTCGATTGTCGGTCTGTTTAAACTCTCTCATTACTTCAATTTCTTTTTAACATTTCACTTTTTATAAAATTATTTTGTTCAGTTCATAAATTTTTTTTTCAATATAATAATTTATCCTCTACATTAATTATCAAAATTTTTAATTATAATTAATAACTATTAATATAAGTAATTAATTTTTTACAATTTTTTTTTTTTATTTTAATTTAACAATTTTTTTTTCTAAAAAAAAAATTTTTTATAATTTTTTTTATTTTTAATTTAACAATTTTTTTTTCTAAAAAAAAAAATATTTCACCTTAAAATTTGCTTTTAAATAAAATAATTGTAAAAAATTTTAAATCACAATTAAAAGTAATTAATTATAATTAAATATTTATGAAAATCAGTCAAAATAATTATAGAGTAAGATTTAAAATTACAATGACACTCGTGCTTAATTTAATTCCATTTAAAATCAATATTATATATTTCAAATTCACATTTTAAGAATATATATGTCTAGGTACTTTGTGGCTCATCGAAGATCAGATTTTCGTCAACGTGCACTTAAAAAAAATAATTAATTCTTTAGACATTTAATCAATTGCCGATAAATTATTAAAGTTATCACATCATAAATTTTACAATAAAAAAATTAGAATCAATAAAAAAAATTGAGCAGAGATAATAGTACACGTTGCACTGATCTCGACCGCCCGCTAATTAGTCAATTGTAAACAATTGTTATTTAAATACCAACTAATTTACATCAATCAATAATGCGTGGTCTTGCAACAAGCATGCAAACAAAAGATATTTTTTTAAAAAATTGTGCGACCCTTCCACCTCTAATTACATATAATAAACACCAACTCTCATTAGATTATTTACACTCGATTAATCTGTTATTACCCAAGTCATTATCATTAACTCTAATTACTACCTTCAATCGTTCGTAACAAATGTCTTGAGCATTTATTTCAAACAATTGAGACCCTTAAATTTTAATTAACTTTTGTTGATTCAAAAATATTTATATTTTTGCCAAGTCTGGTTCAATAATTAATTATAAAAAATCATCAATTTCCCAATTGTCAGTACAATGTCCCTCTTATGGCACAAATGGTCAGCTTATCTTCAGATTTCTTTCATTATGACGCTTCTAATTATTTTCACCTTTAAAAAAAACATTATTAAGGTACAAGACCTAGTTATTGACATCGGCCTAGTTGTTTGACACTTGCAATTTTATTCTAATTAAAAATATATATCTTGTGAACTATTGACATTTTTAAAGATATAAGCTCATCCCGATGTTGTACTCATCAAGACCTTTCATTCGAGTACCCACATCAATTTTTCATATATTTTATATATTTATATATATTATATATATGTATATGTGAAAAATATATCAAAAATGCATGTGGGTACTCAAATGAAAGCTCTTGATGAGCGTAACATCGGGATGAGCTTATATTTTTAAAAATGTCAATTTTTATGTCAATAATTAAGAAATGACACTGTATCTTGTGAACTATTGATATTTTTAAAGATATAAGCTCATCCCGATGGTGTACTCATCAAGACCTTTCATTTGAGTACGCATATCAATTTTTCATATATTTTTCATATATACATATATATATATAATATATATAAATATATAAAATATATGAAAAATGCATGTGGGTACTCAAATGAAAGCTCTTGATGAGTGTAACATCGGGATGAGCTTATATTTTTAAAAATGTCAATTTTTAAAAAGTACAGTGCAATTTAACAAAAGTATTGCTAGTATTTATTAATTTATTAGAGTTGATTTGATTTTTTTAATTAAAATAAAATTACAAGTGTCAATAACTGGGTCTTTTACCTTATTACCACAAAATAAATCTTAGTATCAGCACCCATATACACAGTATACAATAATAATTCGTATCTATGCAATTAAAATGTAATAATTAATAAGTAAGTCGATGGCAATTATTTAACTTAATTTACAAACATTTGATTTTTTTTATAATTAATCTACTGATTAATTTACATAGTTAGTAATTATCAAGTGCCATGACAACTAATAATAACTCGTAAAAACTAATTTTACTTAAAGCCAAGCTCAGACGATAGATCCAGCCAGCGTAAAGCCTCCTTTTCAGCCTTATTTAAATATAAATTATTTATTATTACAATAAAAATTTTTTTAGTATTGTCACACCTACACGGGTGCAAACGTCCATTTTTATTAATTATTACAATTTACAGATTATTACCCTCGTCTGAGGCCATGGACATGGCAGTTATTTCATTAAATATTTTTATTTAAAAGAACTATAATTTTTTAAACGTTTCATTAGAAGCATCACATTTTTTTTAGCAAGATGGTCTTATATATTATTATTATTATTATTATTAATATTATTTTTATTATTATAAATCCCAAGTTTCTATGAAGGCTTCTTTTTTATTTATTTTTATTGGCATAATAATTATTTATTTAGTTTAAAGTAACAAGCCGTGGTACTTAATTACTTGAGACATTTATTATCGTGGTTAAATCAACTTTTAAAAATAAGTTAACAAATGAAAAAAAAAATTAACAACCTTAATGTATAATTAGATCGATATAGAACACAAATAATTATTGTTCATATTTATAATTATTATTGTAATTTAATTTTCTTACTTTTTAGTTTATTTTTTTTTAACATCAAAATATCATAAATTAACAAAGATTCATTTTATTTTCTTAATATATCTAGTTAAATTTAAAAACTGGAGAATTTATAATAACTTGACATAAAAAAATTTATATAAAAAAATCATTCAATGATTTAAAAAAAAAAAAATGATAAAATAAAACTGCGAAATTATGAGTATTGAGAGTACTAAATAATTTAAGCTTACAATGATCAAACACTTACAACTAATTGTGCTACAAGTATATATATAAAACAAATTTACCTTACAAGTGCTTATTAATTTTATAAAGCGACTACTAACTAACAGTAATTATTTGAAATTACCTAGTTCCATTAATACTTTAAAAAATAGAACTAGTAATTAAAATAAATAAAAAAAAAAATTTTTTTTTCACCTTGCAGCTGCTCTAAAAAATTAATGATTCGATCATTAAACTATGGTAACATTTAAATAAAAAAAAAACAAAAATTAAAAAACTTAATAATTAATTTATTATAGAGGAGTAAGAGTTAGTACTCGACAAGCACGCATTATTATAAACTGAACGACTATTTTAACAGCTACATATCATACATAATATCAAATAAACCAGTCTCGCATGTTTCTTAATTAGCTCAAAAAAAAAAAAAAAAAATGATCGAACGAAGTGTCATTAATTATTTTATTAATTTTCACGCAAGTATCTTTGGTATCGTGAGAGTATGTAGTTAAATGCACTCTTATTCTGTTTATTATTATTAAATATTTTTGTTTTAGTTTATCGTTAAGGCGTGATATATTCAGTAATGAGTTTCAGATAATATTGACGTATGACTTGTTTGAGAAAATTAAAACAAAAATAATTTACGTACAAAATAACACATTTATATACATATAGAAGGGTTGTCCTTACTAGAATAATTTTTCTTTATACATTAATATGTAAAAAAAAATTTTTAAAGGAATTAAAGTAAGGACGGCCCTTATATACCATATATATGTAATATTTATATATATTTATATAATATATCTCTCACACAAATATCTTATCCGTATGATACTTATAAGTAATGTTGAGAAAATAACTATTTATATTTTAGTTTTTTTTTGTAGGTCAGCAAGCAAAATTTCCAGTGTTTAATGAGAGAAGTACTTTAATATTAATAATCTAAGTCGACTAATCTATGAATTAATAATAAATAAAATCAGTACATACGAAAATAACAAGATGACACTGGTTACCATCCCAGATTATACTCAGTGATATCTGGATTATACTCATTGTAATTTGGGATTATAGTCAGTGTTATCTTGTTTTTTACGTGTAAAAAAAAAAATTAATAATGGACCGTGCATTAAAGTCCTAATTATTTATTTTTCTGTCACGATAATTATGCATTTTTATCACAATAAAAAAACCCACGACAATTTATTTAAAATAGATTTTCATCACAAGTAACGTTGTCATGGTTAAAGAATAAATCAGCTTGCTCGTTTAGTTAACTATCTAAATAATATCATTATTTATATTTGTATCTTCTCTTGTGAGAGTTATTTAATAAGTGACGACGTCGATAATAATAAAAATAAATAGGATGATATTCACGTTATTAATCTAGGACTGTGTAGACCTTCAACTTGGGTGTCTATTTGCGGGCAATGCTGAGTATCAGGTGGCCCCCAGTCATGTAAGTTTCCACTGTTGGCGAGTCTGTGCGTCAAACGATGAGCTATTGAGAACCCACCGCTGCCTTCTAATTGCGTCAGCACTATAATAACTTGCCTGATGTACAATTAAAGTATTCATTATTTTATTTATCAAAGAAAATACCGGGTAATTAATTTAATAAAAATAGATTAATTTAATTTACCTGTGGAGAGGCGGTACACTGTCGGCAGTCCTCAATTGGCCTCTCGTTGAGACGACGTTGTAACTTTCATGGCAGTCACACTTAACATGGATCCACTTGTTGACATGACGATTTTCCACCATTACAACCAGTCCAGCCCAGCCTTTAGTCAGATAATACGCAGTCATTCCTTCTCTCCCCTGATAATTAATTATTTATAATTCAATTATTGATGAGTAATTAATGAATAATTGATAATAATAATTATAAAGTAAATTACTTCATGTCGTTGTCCTTTGGCGAGTGTTAGGCTGATAATAGCGTCTGCAAGGACGAAAGCTGGCGGTGATATTTGCTCGACCAACAGCCGCTTGGAGCTGTGAATTGCCAAAACGTACTCGGGATAACTCGACGTGTCCTCCATACCTGTATGCCAGTGATTGAATGCCAGGCAAACTACGATATACAAATCTCGCTCGAGCATTTTGTGGCAACCAACAAATCCTCGTACTTGTCGTTTGCTGTGCTCGACCAGTCTACCAACTTGCGGTGCTGCTGGTGATCTTGTACGAAAGACAACTACACATAAATCTAATTGCGAACGTTGGGATTTTTCCGAATTCCTGAAAATAATTATTTTATTAATTATTTATTTTTTTATTAATTCATTTTAATTACTGGTTCTATTTTTTAAAGTATCAATGGAACTAGATAATTTTAAATAATTACTAATTTAGTTAGTAGTCGCTTTATAAAATTAATAAGCACTTGTAAGGTAAATTTGTTTTATATATATATACTTGTAGCACAATTAGTTGTAAGTGTTTGATCATTGTAAGCTTAAATTATTTAGTACTCTCAATACTCATAATTTCGCAGTTTTATTTTATCATTTTTTTTTTTTTAAATCATTGAATGATTTTTTTATATAAATTTTTTTATGTCGAGTTATTATATATTCTCCAGTTTTTAAATTAAACAAGATATATTAAGAAAATAAAATGAATCTTTGTTAATTTATGATATTTTGATGTTAAAAAATAATAAACTAAAAAGTAAGAAAATTAAATTACAATAATAATTATAAGTATGAACAATAATTATTTGTGTACTATATCGATCTAATTATACATTAAGGTTGTTAATTTTTTTTTTCATTTGTTAACTTATTTTTAAAAGTTGATTTAACCACGATAATAAATGTCTCAAGTAATTAAGTACCACGGCTTGTTACTTTAAACTAAATAAATAATTATTATGCCAATAAAAATAAATAAAAAAGAAGCCTTCATAGAAACTTGGGATTTATAATAATAAAAATAAAAAATAGATATTTACCGTTGGCCTTCTTGAAATAATGTAAACTCCGTTTCCGTCGGTTCAAGTACAGTCAGTAGTACACACGATAAATGTCTTAATGACGAAAGTGGTGGCAAAGTACCACGTAGTCTAACTTCACTCCAACCAACACGTGTTTTACAAATATCAATACAGTCAAAATATTTAAGGACGTCATCAAATGAAATCCAGAAGACACCATCAGAAGCACCGTGAGGCATCAACATTTCGCGCATTTGAGGAGTCCACACGGGACTATCATCAGACCAGTCGCCTTTCCAACTGTAATGACCCCAAGGATTCCTCAAACGTAGCAGTCTGATTCCCTGGACGTCTCTGACATCGAGGACTGAGTAAGCGTGACGCGGTCTCAACCCCCGTCGTTGATACTCTTCTTCGTCGACTTTCATGTTTCCGCCCCCGCAGCTCGCGCCCATCAGGAACATCGCCTGTCTGGATGACAGTAGCTGAGCCCAAATCAGATCCTTGTCGAGCTCGTCTTCGCTAGGCAGTGCAGAAGGTTGGAGAGGTACACTTTCACATGGTGCTCCAGTCAGGGTCGCTAATCCCTCGATTGCACGTCCAGATACCAGCGCTTCGTAGCAACCGTGAATTTTAGCGACGGCTTTTTCTATCAATGGAACCCACAGCTGTTTTCTTTTCGCCTGAAATATTTAATAACCTTTTAATTATTTAACTAATTTAATGATTTTTTTATATTTATAATCACACTAATAGTTTATTTATTGCTAAATTTGAATCTATTTATAATTAATTTAAAAACTTTATAACTATTAAAATTTTTAAAGATATAAGCTCATCCCGATGTTACACTTATCAAGAGCTTTCATTTGAGTACCCACATGCATTTTTGATATATTTTTCATATATTCATATATATAATATATATAAATATATGAAAAATTGATGTGGGTACTCAAATGAAATGTCTTGATGAGTGTATCATCGGGATGACCTTATATCTTTAAAAATGTCAATATTTCACAAGATACAATGACATTTCTTAATTATTGACATTTTTTATATATTTTATATATATGGTATTTGTGAAATATATAAATATATAAAATATATTTAAAATTGATGTGGGTACTCAAATGAAAGGTCTTGATGAGTGTAACATCAGGATGAGCTTATATCTTTAAAAATGTCAATAGTTCACGAGATACAAAGTTATTTCTTAATTATGTATCTAAAGATAAAGCATTTTCGAATGCAGTTTAAATACTTATCAAAATAAATAAACTATTTTAGAAAATCATATGAAACATTGAAAAGGCACAACTTTAGATCAAGACCTTTCCAACGATACCAAATTTAACGATAAAAACCCGTTTTATCACATAAATACACTCGCTACAAATTTTCGTTTAATCTCTTAATAATATAGATTATTTCTCTATAGAGTGGTATATTTAATTAAATATTTAAGTCCAATAATAATTAATCCGGCCATCGATATGGAGCTGTTTCATTGAGACTTTTGTTTCGTTAAATATTTCTCAACTAAATAATAAGCTGAAAAAGTTTTACAACTATCGACTTTATATAAAGCATCATATAAAGTTAATATCAGTACAAACACCACCAACTACCCGGAGAAAGCTGGCTTTACCGTAGAACATATCGTGTATTATGTTTTAGCGAGATACCAGAGGCTCAACAACTTTAAGACATGTAATAAGTTTTAATGGATGTTCGATAAAATGAAAATAAATACCTGAGAATAAACCAGATGACCTCTTTTATCACAGGGTAAAAGATCATCGACAAGCACCGTAGTCCACTTGCCGTCCTTGCACAATCTGACCTGGTAAGCACCCTCGGGACAGGTTTCTCGCATCACCAGCACCCGTCTCACCAGCTCGTCGCTCTCAGCAAGCACCGCCAAAGCCGATAGAAGCCAGCAGTTCCCCAATACACCCTGCGATATATCCGAAGGCAGTGGAGTTCTGAAGACAGCCCAAGGCAGTTTTGAATCGACACTCGAGTCGACGTTTATCTGGTGTGGCCTTCTCCACTGCACCACGTGGTTATCCTTAGTGTCTAATGGGTTATAGTACAATGATTTAGGTGCTGGCGGGAATGAATCGTCTACAAATGGTTCGTTTGTCTGAAAAAAAAAATTAAATTTATAAATAATTAAAATTTTTTTTTATTTTTTAAATATAAAATTTTCATTTAAGGACGTTCAAATTTATATTTTTTATTTTTGATAAGTTTAATTAATGACTTTTATGAAATTGCACTGTACTTTCTTAATTATTGACATTTTTAAAGATATAAACTCATCCCGATGTTACATTCATCAAGAGCTTTCATTTGAATACCCATATGCATTTTTGATATATTTTTCATATATACATATTAAATATGTGATATATAAAATATATGAAAAGTTGATGTGGGTACTCAAATGACAGGTCTCGATGAGTACAACATCGGGATGAGCTAATATTTTTAAAATTATCATTATTTGACAAGATACAATGTCATTTCTTAATTATTGACATTTTTTAAGATATAAACTCATTTCGATGTTACACTTATCAAGACTTTTCATTTAAGTAACCACATGGCATTTTTTATATATGTATATGGTATTTGTGAAATATATAAATAGCTTATAAGATTATTGATATATATATATATATATATATAAAAATTTTTCTAAAGACCCCAATAAATTTCTTAAAAAGTTTGTACTAATTTGCCTCTAACATATAAACGTCTTTAAAAAAAAATAATAATTATATCTAATAATAATCTAGCACAAATAATAAACTATTACCTCTTTACAGTATCGTACAATCCGTTCCCATTTTTCTAAGGCTTCTCTCTCCTCAATATGCCTCAAGTTTTCCATCACAACACTTTCCTGTCGTTGTATTCTCAGCGTACTAACACCGGGTTCATTAAAACGCGGTATATTACCCGGTGTTTGCGACAATGACTTTGAGCTTTGGCACATTTCACACACACCGTTGCTGCTTTTATTTTCAAATGTACACAACTTGCAGTGCCACTGAAAAATTAACAAACATTAAAAACTTTCACTATCTATATCTATATCTCCATCAACAATAAATAATTCATAAACAAAACTTACCTGAGTAACAGTCGATTCTTTAATCTTAGAATGTCGCTTGTCGCCAGGCAAAGGTCCATTCCTCCTGACAGAGTTTCTGTGCCTGGGTGTAGAAATCCTGGTAATATTCGCTAGACCACTCGCACTGCCACTAGACAACCTAGGACTGGGACTGCGTTGTCCAGGGCGACTATCCCTAGTTCCAGGTACCTCCAGAAAATCAGCGAGAGTTTTGCAAGCATTGCAATTTTGGGCAGTGAGAGGATTCCTCAGAGTACAGGAAGGACAGACCCAACTTTCTCCCTTTCTAAGAGTTGGATCTTCAACATGAGTGACACTCCTGAGCTTAGACCCACCACAGGCTTCACAAGTCGTCCTGGAGGCGGGATTAAGCAGCGTGCACTTCTTGCAGGTCCATTTTGGCCCCGGCATCGGAGCTTCAATCGAGTCCTCGAGGTCCGACTCGGCAGTAGCGAGGGTTGCTTTGGGGATGTACCTGAATGAAAATTAATTTAGCACATATTTTATAATTTTTTTTAACAAATAAATTATGTCAAAAAAAATGAGAAAAAAAAATTGACATTTAAAAAATTAAAAAAATAAAAAATCCAATTTTTTAGAAGCAAATTAATTTATTAAAAAAAATTAAAAAATTGTCAAGCGACTGCTAACTTTAATGTCATTGTACCATGAAAATTAATTTAGCACCTATTTTATAATTTTAAGAATTTTTTTAACAAATAAATTATGTGAAAAAAAAATTGACATTTAGAAAATTAAAAAAATAAAAAATCCAATTTTTTAGGAATAATTTTTTAGAGCAAATTAATTTATTAAAAAATTGTCAAGCGACTGCTAACTTTAATGTCATAGTACCTGACACTGTCTCTAGACACAACAATCGGCGACTGGGGAATGTTCGGCCGGGAGTTGAGCGTGTCCTTCGTCACAGTAATCAAACTGGGCTGTAGCAGCGAGGGAGGAGTGCGATTGGAGCTGCAGATGTCGCAGCCGATAGACCAGAGCGGGTTGTAGGCGTAAGAGCACTTGCGACAGGTCCACATACGTCTGAGCGGACTGGAGGACCCGGGAGTCTCCACTGGACTCGTGGATTCACTTCTGGCTCGCTGCGAGACCACTGGCAGTCCGATCTTGCTGCTCTGTTTCTTCGGTAACGGTGGCGGAGCATCCGGGTCGGTTATTCCGATGTAGGAGTACTTAGGCCGAGAATTAAAGCCCACCGAGTGAGGCGGTACCGCTGGAGGATCATCATCATTTAGGCTCCGCCGATTCGCGGCTTTCTTCTGCGCTGCGTTCGCCACTGCGTCGATTTCCGAGAAGGATCTTCTGTAGGACAGCGGCCCGGCTGATGAAAGTCCCAGAGCCCGGGACTCCCAGCCCGGAACGCTTATCACCACTCCGCTGCAAGGCGTCGGGCTTCTTGGAGCATCACAAGCCTCGCATTGCTCTAAATCTGGAGCGTTATCCAGAGTGCAATTATCGCAGCTCCAAAGCGCGTCGTCTTGATGAGCTTCCGCGACTATTAGACTGGTCGGTCGAGGGATCACTCCGTGCTCCGGCAGCTTTTGCACCACTGACCCGTTCGACAGCGACCTACTCACTTTGGATTTAACTCGCTCGTAGACTGAGGGGCTGTGACGCTTTGGAGAACGCTGAGAGCCGTCAGTTGATGAATCCGCGAATGAAATCGGCTCCATGCTCTCAATCGGAGGAAGGGTCCAGTTCTCGCGGTTAGACTGTGACCTGTTCCTGCTGAGCCCGACTGAGCTCAACTGCGCCATCCCTTCGTCGCGGTCCAACACTCCGATTCCCAGATTCAAGCACCCGACATCGCGGATCCACGTGGCTAGCCCCGCTGCCACTGTCGCGACGATGTCACCCCGTGGCTCTTGCTTGTTGCTCAGCTTCAGGGCCTTCAGTCGCTTGCCTCGGCGCACGCCGATCAGGTTGCCATTCGTCTGGGCGATCGTGGAACTAGCTCCGCAAGCAGTGCACACTGGAGATGCCAAGCTACTGCAGTTTGCTTGGAGACACCTGATACAGGTCCACCGGGTCACTAGTAGAGGTAGTGAAGGAGAGCGTTTGGGGTTCTCGCGCTGGTGGCTCACGCACGGCCAAGAACTTCGGCGGAGGCGTCTACTGATGTCTGGACTGGTTTTTGCTTTTATCTTGCTGCTGGACAATAAATATTATACATTAACCCAAAAAGATTAGTTGCTTAAGTTAATTGCTTTTATGATGGTCATTGGTGATAATGTGATGGATTAAAAATGTCTTCGGGCTTTTTGTAACCTTTTTGTTATTTTTAGTTTCAATTTAGTTTTTTTCCTCAGGGTGATTTTTTTTTATGAACTTTGATAAGAAATAATTCTTTTTTATTTTTATTCAATTAATTCAATTGTAAAATTTTTTTTTTAAGTGGTATTTAAATACAAATGGTGGGTTTTTAATTCATCACTAATTAAGCAATTAACAAAACGGTAATAGGTAATATTTTCAGTGAAATTGCGGGAAATTAAATTAAATTAAATTATCTGGTTATATAGTGTGTTCAATTTACTGTCAGCTTTATTAAATATTTTTGAATTAAAAATTTATTGAAATAATTAGTTTTTCAAACATAATTAATACAGTTTAGATGTATTTTAGGATCATTGTTTTTTTATACTTAAATTAACGCAATATTGTTAGTAAAAATCTAAAATATTTCTCAAGTATTTTTAAAAATAATTTGGTAATTATTTACAAGTTCGGTAAACCCCATTTTGGGCTATAACTAAGTGAAAAAAAGTTTTTTTTAATTCTTCTTTTTATTTTTTTGAATAACTTAAATTTAAAAAAAAAGTTCACAATTTTCGAAAAAATTTATAAATATTTTCAAAAATTTGTTAATTTTTTTATGTATTTAAAAAAAAATATCATTAAAATCAAGTATAAATTTCGTTCAAAAAAATAAAAATCAAAATAATTAATCCCAGTTGTAAATATTTACCAATAATTTTTAAACTTTTTTTAATTATGTATTTTTGTTAAAAAGAAAAAAAAAACAATTAATACAATTGAACATAATTCGTTAATAATTTAATTTATAAGAAATAAATTGAACACTCGATAAAGATTATTAAATAATAACATCAATTTGATTACTTATCTATTTTTAAACAAAAAAAAAAATATCAATAATTATTACTTCCCACTTGAATAAAAAGCTATCACTAAACTAATTAACTTAATAACCGAAAAAATAAAAACGAACCTGAGGGTCAAAGAATTCCGTTGGTTGTTAATATTGTTGACAAGATTAATATCATCATCAGTTCCCTGGTCTCTAGGCAACGATGACGTGGGCGCTGAATCACCAGTGGAAGTCTGCCTCGGCGGAGGCGTCGGAGGCGAGTCGGAGGGTGCTGAGGAGGAGGCCGAGGAGGACAAAGACACAGAGACAGAAGCAGAAACAGAATTAGATGACGCAGTGGGTGTCTCTGGGGTGTTATCACTGGGCTTTCCGCAACCCGGACAATTGTTCTCCTCGTCGTCGGGGTCCTCGAGCGGCTTATTGTCGTGAGAATTCTCGTGAGAATTTTCAGTGTCGTCGCTGAGAAGAAGGTGAGTTTCTGCTGGACAGGTTAGACAGGCGGAGCATCGCCTTGAGACCTGCTCGGAGAAGTTGTTTCTGTCCGGTGGAGTTGCCGCGGAAGAGGTGGTAGTGCCGTGCATGGCCATACTCGTTGACCGCGGATTACCATCGCTCCACAAGCTCGTAGAGTTATCCCCGAGAGTTTGGTCGCCAGGAACAGAGCTTCGCCGGGTTGATCGCCTGGCCAGGCTCTCTTCCTTCGCCTGCTGTCTGCCCGCCACCCTCGGCAGTCCCCCGCAAGTCAGTGTTGCCGACAGAACCGCTTGATACAGCGGCCCGTTGTCAACCAAGATCTCCTGCTGCTCCTGTTTTTATAAACAACACTTTTGTAATTATTTAGATTTATTTTTAAATTTATAAATATTTTTTTTACACTTTTTGAAATAATTGTCATCAAGTTACTGTTACCAAAGCTCTTATTATTATTATTATTATTATTATTATTATTATTATTTATTGTCATATGTTCACAAGCAGCCATTTTGCTTCAGGGCACGAGGAGACAAACACCACTGCTTATGCTGGTCTAATTATTATTTAGATTTTTATTTTATAAATTTTATAAATTAAAACTAAAGTTATTTTTAAACAAATTTTTTTTTTAATGTTTTTTTTTTTTTTTTTAATTAAAATAATCATCACAAGAAAATAAAAGTCTCGCGCCAATCAATGGACTGTTTAAAGATCAATTTTATCTTCCGGGCTGTCATTTTTCACTAACCCATTTTTAAACCTTCAAAATTAACAATCTAAAAATTTATTATTTATTTAAATCATACTGTTTTAATTTAACACACACCTTTGACACTTTATTTTAGTTAAGGGAGCTACTGCTACGTTAGTATCGTGTACCGTTGTGTTGACTACGAGAACGTAACACAGGAACGTCACACGTCGACAACGTCATTAAGCGCCACGCGCAACTTCTTTTTTTGGAAAATTTTTTATTTTACAAAGATAAGACACTTGTTTTTTGGTCAGCTGGAGAAATAAAACCTGCAGGTTAAATATTTTAAGAAATTATTAGAAATATTGAGGGGATTTAAAGAGAAGAAATCGGAAATATTTACCTTGGGAGTTGGAGAAAGAAGACACATGACTGAGACATGGAAGACTGTGGATAGTGCTGCCCTCTAAAACAGTTTTAGGTAATGAGGGTTATGAGGAAGTATTGTAGATATTGATGGCAATGTACAATTACCAGTCCCTGTGGCGCAGAGGATAGCGCGTTGGACTTCTAATCCAAAGGTCGTGGGTTCGATCCCCACCAGGGATGCATTCCGAGGAGAGATCCTCTTTTTTGCCCGTTGTTGCTAAAGGGTAATTTTATAAATAGCTTTTGATAATTTATTTTATTTTATTTTTTTTTTAAACAAAGAAATATTCAATTTTTTGTCATTTTTATTCATAAATAAATAAATTGATTTTTTTTTTATTTTTGAATGAAGAAATGTTGAATTTTTTAAGATTTTTATTTTTAAATAAATTAATTGATTTATTTTATTTTTTAAATGACTTTTTTTACTTTGAAGGAAGAAATATTGAATTTTTCTTTTCATTTTTTATCTATAAATAAATAAATTGATTTTGTTGCAAATTATTTTTATTTTTTAGGTGATTTTATTTGTTTTGAATGAAGAAATATTGAATTTTTATTTTTGAATAAATTAATTGAATTTTTTAATTAAATGATTTTTGTACAATAAATTAATTTTTATAATTTTAATTATCAAGGATTTATTATCTAAAATTTAAAATATTTATTAACACATGATAAAAAAAATCTAAATATTAATAAACTTCGGTGATAATTAATTAATTTATTACTAAAGATATATTTTTCTAAAAATAAATTGCACTGCAAACAATATGTCATTAAACAAACATAACTAATTGATAATACGAGTTAAATCCGTCTTTGGATAGGAATTATTATTAATTTAAATCCATTGTACTGATACAATGATTCAAATAATAATAATAATAATAATAATCATTGATAAAAATTATTTTAAAATAAATTTTATTAAATATATTTACAATTACTTTCAATATTATTCTTATAAAAATTTTAATAATAAGAAAAAAGTTGTCTAGATTTGAAAAAGAAAAATTTAGATAGACAATTTTAGAATTTTAATCCCATTTTTTTTTTCTACATCAAGAAAACTTTTTTTTTAACAAGAAAATTGTTTAAAATTTTGAACAAATAAATTTCTTAACACAAAAATGTTAATTTTTATGAAAATAAATTTTTTCTCTTAATGAAGAAATGAAACTCCCTGTAAAACATGTAAAATACAAAGAAGCAAATATTTGTCCGCAATTACATTACAGAAAATAAATTATTACTGCAATTATAAACTTCTATGTTGATTTTGTTATCGGTACTAAAACTCTGGTAGCTGTTCCAGCACAGCGAAAGTTTTAACGATAGGTCGTACCTGAAAAAATAACCACTTTCATTGGTTTCCTCACCAGCAGTTAATATTAAATTACAAAACAGCTTTTTAAAATAAATAACCGGGAAGGAAATAATTAAACTCCGCATTGTTGATCCTCACTTTTAAATAGTAATTATAATTTTTCGACCCATTTAGCTTAAGTCTTAACATAAACATTAAAATCTTATAAAATAATTCATTTAATCTAAAAACTATTTTTATTTTAATTAAAAAAAAATTCTTTTTGTTGGCAGAAATATTTTTTAGCCTTTGTTAGGAACTTGCGTTAATTTAACGATTGTTAAATTTGTTTTAACAATACAAGTAGAGCAAAAACATGCTTATGAATTCGCACACATGCACACCAGACTGGAAGAATATAATAACAAGAGCCAGAGAGTACTCGTACGGAACTACATACAAAGATCACTAAAATTAGGCCGGTACTTTATGAACTCCTCGAATCTTAGATCAAAGAGCCGCGTTAATTGGATCACTTGTAAGCTAACAATAATTATTGCCAGCAATTTTATAAACTTTTTAAATAGCAAAATAATATTTTACAGATTCATTTATTTTAAAATAATTTCAGCTCTGTAATGAGATGATTGCTATTTTTAAATGTCTTTGACTATTTTTACGTGACTTTGACCTTTTCGTAATAAATTTTACTAATGATAATACATATAATTTAAACATCACACCTATTAATTACACATATATTTTTTTTTTTCAGGTTAAAAATTTTTGATAAAATAAATTACAACAGAAATTACATTTATAAATTATGAAATTAAAAGCTTGTCGGTGGATTTTGTACACGTGGATTGGACACGAGCCAATAGTGTGATCGAGATTTTACCTCGTATCGACTCACCGCAAAATAAAGATCAGACTGCTTGGCGGCGGCCAATTATACTTGCATTACATATATTAATTTACGCCTTTGTAGTGGTCTTTTAGTTGTTACGGTAATAACATAATACAAGGCAGTGCTGCAATTATTTATCTCGGAATTATATAAATAATAACATTTCATAGAACAGACGAGAAGAGTAGAGAGAACTAGACACACGCAGTCGAGTGATATGTAACACGTGTTTTTATTGAATTGACGTCATTAAGATAATTAAATGAAAAAATAAATAGACTACTTTCAACAAAGTATTTTATTTTTTGAATAAAAGTTTTATTTTATTTATCTTATTGATAAGAATCTTTTTTTAGTTAATAGTTTTTTTGGATGGTCTTGAGATTGATTATTCAACACTACACACGTGGTAGATATTATTGTTTTGATTATGACTAATTTTTATATTAAAAAGTTTGATAAATTATTTTATTTTTTAACTCTATTTTTTTTTATTAAATAAAAAATTTATTTTTTAATTTTTATTAAAAAAATTTTTTTTTGTTTTTTATTAAAAAATTTATTTATTTTTTAAAAAAAATTTTTTGTTAAATGAAAAAAAAAAATTATCTTATTTATTTATAAATAAAAAATAGAGAAAACAGGAAACGGTGAATAAAAAGTAATTTTTTATTTTAATATAAATTACTTTACAGGATAAGGAAAAAAAAATAAGCATTATATATGCAGATAACTTTTATTTAGTTGGCCGCCGACTGCGGAATCGCGAGTAATCAACAGGAAGAGTTGGACCTGTGACAATCAGGTGATGTAATTAGCGTAGTTAGCTGATTTCTTATTGGCCGGCCAGTGGATCAGGGACATTGAATGATTAAACGAGTGAAAATACAAATAAAATTTCCCATTAGACGTTTCTTGCTTTTAAAAAATTACAACAAAACAAAACATCAAGCATTTATCTTTACTTGGTAACTTGGACTTTATTTAAATCTGCTTTAATCCCTGCTCGCGGAAAAATAAAACTATTGGCAATCGGCCGAGCCTTGTTGGATTTAAACACTAAGTCTCTTGACAAAAAAGCTCCAGAGTATTTACAGAGCCAGTGCCAACTTTTCGGGTTTTTCAAACGAATCTAGAGCTTTTTATTATTCCAAATAAAATAGAGACCGAGATATAAAGAATTATATTTATTGGAGATCTTACACTTGACCCAAATTATTTTGTTTATTTTTATAGAAAAAAACCAGAAATTTTATTTTAGCAAGTATTAAATAATTTTATTTCTGTAATTGTCACTTTTTAATTTTTCAAGCCAAGAAATTGATATTTTAATTTTAAAATTAAAATTTCGGAGAAAATTAGGGTAAAATTTATAAAAACCTTTTTTGTAGAAAAAAAAATTCTCTTTAAAAAAAGTATCATATAATTTTTTCAATATTTGACTCAGAAAATTAATTTGAAAGTTAAAAATTAAAAACTTAAATAATTTTTTTTCTTTTTAAACTTTTTAAGAATTTTTTTCTTGATTTAATTCAATTTTTTTTTTTTTTTAGTGTACATTATAAATTATGAACATTGAATTCATAAACTGTCATACAGCATAAATAATAAAATATTTATACAACATACAATGAAGATATTTCCAAGGACCTTGAATTTGAAATTTACAATTATTGTCACGTTCTAATTGTCATCTTGATTTTTATTGTTACAAACGCGGAGGCTTCTAATTGAGTAACATCATCTAATCCTCTAGAGACTGTTCAATGTTCTAACTAGTAACGACCAACAAATTTGATACTCTAAGTAAATTTATTCTATTAATTAAAACGATCTATCATGTATTATATAACAAACTTATTTTTCTACAAACGATTGACGTAAATTGTTTTTTTTTAAATTAATTATAGATTTAAGCGTGTTTGTTGGCGCGTTAAATAACAAATCCAAGTAGAGTTTATTACGATGTTTTTGAATAAAAATAATCGAATCTTTGTTTTGCGAAAATTTATCATACCCCCAAACGCGAGTTCGAACAATCATGCCGCGGTGAATCATTTAAATGATACGTTGTCGCACATATAATCACAACAATATGCCACAGTCATATAAATTTAATCATTCAGGGCGTCTGGTCATGTTCGTTTTTATTTTGTTTCGAATTCTACGCGAGCTCTGCAGCGGGTTAATGATAAGGTTATCGAATCGGTCGTGTTAATAAAGAAGGACGAAAGTTGCAATTTATATTCATTAGATTCACTCGATATTTTTTTTTTCATTCGCTGTTAGTTTATCATTTTAAAAAGTTTTTGATTTATTATTTATTTTTAAATATTTTTATAGAGAATAATTTTTTACAAATCGTAAAATGAAAGTATTTTAATTTATACATTGTAATTTACTTAAATATTTATTGTTTCATTTAAATTATTGTTCAATTTATTTAAAACATAAAATTAAAATTAGACTTTCATTATTATTACATATTTTCTATTTTTTTCAATAAAAATTTATCAGGATTATTATTATTATTATTTTTTTTTTTGATTTGTTTAAAGTCGCATAAACTACTAAGGTCATGAGCGACTACGGTAGGGGTAAACTTTTTGAGATTGGAACTCGTTTGTATTTCTTGGGCTGAGCAGAATAATACACTTAAATATTGAAAATATTCATTGGTGTACGCCGAATTCGAACCCGGTCCAATGCTTTGATAGCAAGGGCCGGATCCGATAGGCTACTGCGCGCCTTATTATTATTATTATTATTATTAAAAACAAAT